GTGAAAAATGACAGGTTATTTGTTCAATGGCGAAATGGGAAATTACATAACCAAGCAATTGGCTATCATTCAATCTCAAAATTTCCACATAAAATAGCTGCTTTTTTGAAGCTTCCAAAAATTGAAACTTTTACAGGGCATGCTTTTCGTCGTACTTCCGCAACCTTATTGGTTGACAACGGGGCCGATCTATTGCAACTCAAAAGACTGGGAGGGTGGAAATCGAGCACGGTTGCTGAAGGCTACATAGAGGCATCTTTGGAGAACAAAAGTAAGACTGCTCTGATGCTATCCTCTACTTCCAAAGGTATTCAGTTGTCCAGTGCATCCACAAGTACATCACATGCGGAAACTCATCCGCAAGCGCAAGAGATAATAGTTCCAAACGAAACACAATTCCAACAGGATGGTCTCAAGATTTCCATTATAAACAACAATGCTAATTTAACAATTAATGTAAATAAGTGAATAGATTTAATTAGTTCCATGTAATACATGTGGTTTTATTATTATATGTGAGAGCTGTATGAAAATTATCAATTTGGAACGAGCAGGGAAATGGGGACGGAAAAGCATTTGCCGTCCCGGACGGAAAATGCTTTTCCGTCCTAGGCAGGCATATGCATTACCGTCCCGATAAATGTCAAAGTCCAGAAATGTGACACTTTCAAGATTTTGAAAAACCTGCAATGTCAACATTACATATGTGGTTGAAAATAAAATTATTTTCGCTAGAGTTTGGATAAGCATCAGCGAATGAATGTCTCTGGTTTTCAAAAACAGAGTCATTCACAATGGTATTATTATTACACAATTCATCTTCTTGAATCTCAACAAAAATTAAATTACTATTACAAAGTTTTTTTTTTTTTTTTTTTTTTTTTTACGGATATGCGCACTCGCAAGGAAATGTCCTATCACGCTCGAGAAGCGGCAGTTGAAGTTGCTACTTCCGCATTTAAAATTGTGCTCGCCAGAACTCTACAAATTGACCTATATCCTAATTTGAATCCTTGTGGAGAGTTAGAACTCACAAATGAAATGGAATTACTAGAAACAGAGTTAAATCTTTCAATTATGTTGGCTAATTTCCTATTAAAATGATACGCCCTTAAATTAAGCTTGTAAGGGAATAAATAGGGAATTGAGAGAAAAATAATGTTTGTATGATTACAATTTTTGAGCACCTCAATTATTCCTTTTATAAGAGGAACATTGCCATTTAACAAGTCATTTGACCCCGCTGCTATAATAATGAAATCTAAACTAGTAAAATTCTGAGATAAGTCAATTACACTATCAATAACACCACTGAACTGGGCACCTGATTTAATAATATGTTCAATTTTGAGTTTTTTGTTGGACACTTTGGATAATTCAGAACGAAGAGGGTTGGCCATGTATCTGCTTTGTTCATCTGACAAAAATAGGATTTTTCTGGTTCCATAGACCTGAGGTGCGGAAGAGTCGGGAGGCACAGTTTCAATAGGTGCGTCCTCAACGAAGGTACTTGAATAACATTGGGTTTCCTTATGTGATTTTTCGCGATGTAAACCCGTTTGAATGTTGAAGCAATCAAGCTTGCAGGCCTTTAAATCGTTCAGATAATAATCTCTTTCCTTTTCCAGACTGTCAATCCTAGTAAGTAACTCTGAATTCTGAATGTAGTTTCTTTAAATCTTGGAGTTTTTTAACCATGTCTTCATTTTTGTCCTCAAGGTCCTTGATGTTCTTAATGGCGTCAGAATTTTTGCCTAAAAGGCCCACTATGTTCTTATTAAGTGATAGTATTTCATCACTCTGCTTCTTCATTCTGTATTCCAGTTCTCTCTCCGCCTCAAAAGCACTATCTTCAAAATCTTGGGTGCGCCTTTTTAGTCTAGCGATATGGCTTGTTTTATCGTTGACCTCAGTAAATAGCCTTTGCAGTTCAATCTGGAATCTATCTTCCATCTCATCACATCTAAGCTGCAGTTCTTCAATATATTTATCCTTAGCTTCCATCCCACTCTTAAACTTATTATTCAAATTTTCCATAGTTATCCTGGTTGGCGATCTGTTGCCTACAGTTAGGACAACAAAAAATGATTGATCTATTGCTCAAGCAAATAGCATCAGCTTCAGTAGTGGAAATTTTAGCACATTTCTTGCAAACAGCATTCTTACACATGTCACAATGTGCCCCAAATACTTCATTTTCCTTCGTTCTTCTTTTAAAAATGCAAGCCGAAGTGCATATATGACAACAGAGAGACGTTTCAAGTAGAAAAATATTCTGGACTGTAACAGTAACATTCAAAATTGTACAAATTTTAGTACATTGCCAACCACTAAAGCAACCGCTGTTTTATTTTTTGGGTATTCACTAGTTATCTCTAACCTGAAGCGCCATAAAAAGAAGAATTCCACATACACAGCAAAAAAGTTCACAAAAAACAATTGATTTCGCCAAAACAGCTTGGGAATTCGTATGATTACTGATGAAACAAATGATTATCGGCACTAATTCAAACAGTAAAACTTACATGAAGGTTCGCCGGACAAAATGATATCACATAAATCAATTAAAATATTCAACTTAGCAATAAAAAAGGGTTTTAAACGGGAGCAATTTATTTACTTTATAAACAATGAATAATTTATGAAAAAAGGCTACGAGTACTTAAAGGTACACCTACAAAAGCTTTTTAAGGCAAGCCTGCTCCTAGGGCACATACCGCTATCTTGGAGGGAAGCTAATGTGATATTCATACCAAAAACGGGCCGCCGACCCGAGGACGAACCAAAATCATATCATCCCATTAGTCTAACCTCCTTTCTCCTTAAGACAATGGAGAAAGCAATCGACCAGTACATCAGAAGCGAAACTCTATTGAGAAGACCGCTCTACTCTAAGCAATTTGCTTATCAGCCAGGCAAATCCACAATAAGTGCTTTACACTGCCTGGTTAAAGACATTGAAAAGACAATCGAGTGCAAAGAGATCGCTCTCACAGCTTTCATCGACATAGAGGGTGCCTTTAACAATACCTCACATCAATCAATCGCCAGAGCATTACACGAATGGGATGTTGAAGTTCCAATTGTAAAATGGATAGAGTCGATGCTGAAACACCGTCACTTTACGGCTGAAATAAACGGAGCATCAGCTACCGCTACCACGGTCAGAGGGTGTCCTCAAGGGGGTGTTCTCCACTACTATGGATACTGGTGGTAGACAAAATTCTTACCAGACTGAGTAGTGCTGGATACCAGGTCATAGGCTACGCAGATGACCTAGCCATTGTAATCAAGGGCAAACATGAAGGCGTATAGTGACAAGCCGAATGCAAAGTGCCCTAAACATCGTTAAAAATTGGAGCGAAGGCGAAGGATTATCCCTAAACGCAAACAAAACTATCCTTGTCCCCTTCAAGAAGAAGGAGGCTAAATCTGAAAGCCCCGACTCTTAACGGTACACATTAACATTTTCCAACGAAGTGAAGTACTTAGGGGTCACCCTGGACCGAACCCTCACTTGGAACAAACAGCTAGAGAAAACATGCTCTCGAGCTACATCAGCCATTTGGTCATGCCGAAAACTTGTTGGCAAAACATGGAGGCTAAAGCCAAAGAGGGTATTCTGGATTTACCAAACTATATTTTTTACCCATGGTCACATACGCCTCATTGGTGTGGTGGCCCAAAACCCAAAAAGTCACTGCTCAGATCAAGCTCAGAAAGGTGCAAAGGCTGATATGTCTAGGAATAATGGGAGCAATGTCAACTTGCCCCACCGCAGCCTTAGAGACGCTACACAACATGCCCCCACTTCATCTATGTGTGAAAAAGGAGGCAATAACCAGCGCTCACAGGCTATTCCAAATAGACAAGTTCAAGCCTGGTGATCTGAGGGGACATCTGCGAATCCTTGATTTAATAAAACTGGAGAATGCCAGCAAACCAAGCGACCACATGATGGTCAGATTGGACTTAGAGATCCCATTCGCAGTGGTAATAAACGACCGCCAATCATGGGAGACTAAAGCACGTCAAAGCATGTCACAAGCCGAGAATGCATCTCTGTGGTACACAGATGGATCGAAGCTAATGGAAGGAGCTGGACTGGGCATCTCCGGCCCTAACTTCAAGCTCTCCAAGGCATTGGATAAACATCTTATATTCAATATTTCAAGCCGAACTGCTTGCCATAGATATATGTGCACAAGAGTGTCTTAGCCAAAGCCTCAAAATAAAACACATCTTCATACTATGGGACAGCCAAGCTGCCTTAAAACCCTTAAGGGCTTTCAAATGCACGTCAAAGCTAGTCTGGGAGTGTAAAAAGACCCTAAAAACACTAGCGACACACAACCAGGTAACGCTGATGTGGCTGCCTGGTCATCGAGGCATAGAAGGTAATGAAGAAGCAGATGGCCTCGCAAAGAAAGGGGCCTCAACACCATACCATGGACCAGAGCCCTACTGTGGATTAATGAAAAGCCACATCATGGATGAACTCAATAAAAGGGAGAAAGACCAACTATCATCATACTGGAGGCCCACACCGGGACTCAGACAGTCTAAAAGGTTTATTACCCTTTCAGCAAAAAGAGCCGAACAGCTCCTAAGCATGAGCAGACCAGAAATCAGATTGGTGGTGGGACTGCTCACAGGACACTGCCCAGTAAAATACCATTTAGGGTTAATGGGCAGAGCGGAAGACGATCTCTGCAGATTCTGCTCAGATGCAATAAAGACCGCAGAGCACCTGCTCTGCGAATGTCCAGCCCAATTCTGCCAGAGGCTCAAATTCCTCGAGGGGGCAACACTGTCACCAGAAGAAGTGGGCCAACTAACACCCAGGAAAATAACTTCCTTCGGCAGAAGTCTACGCTTCCTGGAGACAATTTGAGATGTAGAGTCATGTACAAAATATCTGCAAAGGTAGCAGTGCTGAGCGGCTGAAAAGCCGAAACGACTCCCCCGCAATCTACAATCTACTAAAAAGCGCTTCCACGCTTCCATATATTCTACTCTTCATAAATTTGTTTGAAACTGGAAAGATATTGACGTCAAAATTCCAGGAAATCTGATTTTAATTATTTTTTGTCTTAAAGCCCTCTACAGGGAGTTATTCAACTTTTAGAACTTTTGGAAGAAACTCTACTTTTGCTATAGGACAAAAATTAGATAATTTTTGTATTGACTTGTCATCATTTTATAATATGTAGTTTTATCTGTATTTTTATAGATTACATACCAAAAACTTGATTCAGACGAAAGCCTATGATTTATTTGTTGAAAAACTTATTGAATACAATACCATTGTTTCAACTCTGACTTTAGTGTATGTACATCTTAACTCAGTCTAACATTGCATTTATGCATTTTCAAATTTCTTGGTAATTTGGAAATTCAGAGCAATTAATCTGGATTTATAAGATAATTGTAAAATTTATTGACATTGTTTGTGGGCATATATATTTACTGAGAAATAATAGTTATTTATGGCCGTCTATTAGAATTTGAACTGATCAAAAAATGGAGAAATTTTGAATCATCTTGTTCGTTTTAGCTACATAATTTATTATTATACTACGTCATTTTATCTTGATTCACCTATCTACAACAAAATAAAATGAGCAAATAAAATTTTCCCAAGTAAACTGATAAGAAATTATCCATCTGAAAGTGATGATGTGAATATAAGTATGAGTAATACATCACACTATAAAAGAATATCAAAGCTAACTAGGTACGATTATAATGACTTAATTCCATAAAATAATAAAATACTCATATTATTTATAATAAGACACATAAAAAAATTAGCTTTGGTTAATTATCGAAAATAAGTATTAATATGATCAATAAGTGGTACCAGAATATTACGCGATAGAGTTGGAGTGGAGTGAAAATGTTTATCTGGCATATTTTAATTTTTTTGTTTGTTGGTTTTTGTGTAGTGTCCGGACAAGAAATTGATCTTGAAGATTTGGCAACAACTTTAGCTCAAACGGTAAGATCTTTTATTCTATAAGAAAAAAGAACCTAAGTACCTATATACTTGAAAAACCTAATACATATTTAAAATAAAATAATGCAGTGTGGTCACTGATGACATACGATTAAATTGCTACCATCACGGTGACTCACCCATTTAGTGGAATGTATTTTAATCCAAAGAGGTCCTGTAGATTATTTTCCAATGTGGTTCCAATAAATTTATCTTCTCCCTGCTAGGAATCCTTTGAATTAGAGAGGGAAGTAGGTGATATAATGAAAAATTTCTGAATTAGGAGGTATACTCTGAGGAAAAACCAACTTTCGAACCAGAAAATAAGTTTAAATATTATGATGGTCCACTCAATTTCGCATGCATACATCATACTCTATTCTCGATCCCACTTTATCGCTACCTACTTCTTCCTAGCCGTTCTCTATTCTCTGGATATAGGCCTCTCTCAGATTTTGTCAGGTACCTACCTATTTCTATTCTACCAGTTTAGTTCTGCTGTTCGCTCAATGTATCGTATCAGCGTTGTTAAGGTTTTCCGACTCTTCTTCGTTCACCCCAGGATCCCCATCTTGTTACTTTTCCGCTCCAGTTGTTGCTTGTATTTCTCCCTACGTAGCCGGCCCAGTTACATTTGAAGGTGCATATTCTATGTGTAATAAAGAATGAAGGCTTTCACGGCCGGTCAAATCTAGCAAAAAAGTTTTTTCCGGGCTATAATGCCGTGGTCCATTAGTATTTCTACCTAACGTTTCGTCTACTGCTGCGGTAGACATCTTCAGAGGCGGTGTGGTAGAGGACGAAGCGTTCTCTTCCGTGTTTCTCCGATGACTGAATTCGACGTTGAGGGAACTGCGTTATTTATATCCAGGGTTGTGGGCGTGGCTTGGATTATGGTATTTTCCTTGTCTCGTTCTCGGACAGGAAGGGTCTTTGTTTTTCGGAGAACTGGCAACCAGCTTTTATTGAGGTTCATGCCCTCTTCTTTTCTGTTGAAGTTGTTGTGGTGTTTCTGTATCTCTATGGCTTCTCTGTGGAGCCTGGTGTAGAAATGTTTGGTTCTATCCAATGTTTGAGTCTGTTCGAAACGAATGACATGGTTTGTTTGTGTAAGCACGTGTTCGGCGATTGCTGATCTATCTATTTGTCCTTGCTGACAGTTTCTTTTGTGCTCTTTGACCCTGGTGTTGATAGAGCGTTTGGTTGTTCCTACATAGACAGATCCACAAGAGCAGGGAATTCTATAGACGCCAGCCGATTCAAGAGGTGCCCTAGGATCCTTGGCCGATCTTAGACTTTGCTGAATTGTTCTTGTGGGCTTGTAGATAGGCTTAACGTTGTGTCTTTCTAGCGTTCGTCCTATGCGATCTGTGACATTTTTGATATAGGGAAGAAAGGCTCTCCCTGCCACCTGTGCTGGTTCCTTGTTAGTTGTGCGCTGCTGCTTCGGTCTTATGGCTCTATTTATCTCCTGCTTGGAGTACCCATTTCCTTCAAGTGCCGATTTTAGGTGTTGCATCTCGTCCTGAAGGTATCTGGGTTCACAAATCCGGATTGCTCTGTCAGATAGAGTTTTAATGACTCCTCTCTTTTGCCTAGGATGGTGATTAGATTCCTTGTTGAGGTATCTGTCCGTATGTGTCGGCTTCCTGTACACTCTGTGTCCCAGTTTTCCTGAGGGTAATCTTTCTAAGAGGACGTCGAGGAATGCAATTTTGTTATCCTTCTCAACTTCCATCGTAAACTGTATCCTGAGTTCTATCGAGTTTAGATGATTAAGGAAGTTTTCGAGCTCTGCCTCTCCATGGTTCCAAACAACAAATGTGTCATCTACATAGCGAAACCAACAAGTAGGTTTCTTTGTAGCCGTTCGTAGTGCCATTTGTTCGAAGTGTTCCATGTAAAAGTTGGCGATAACCGGGCTGAGTGGACTTCCCATTGCGACTCCATCTGTCTGCTCAAAGAATTCATTTTGCCATTGAAAGTACGTAGTCGTCAGACAGTGGTGAAATAAGTTGTTGATTTCTTCCGGAAAAACATCTTTCAGATACTCTAAGGCCTGATTTACTGGGACCTTAGTAAACAATGAGACGACATCAAAACTAACCAGAATGTCGTTTGGTAATAGAGTGATATCACTGATCTTTTTGATGAAATGAGTTGAGTCCTTGACATAAGAGCTGGATTGGCCAATCCGTGGTTGAAGGAGGGTGGTGAGGTATTTGGCTATGCTGTATGTGGGCGAAAGACCTGCCATACGAAGACATCATAGCAAATGTGGAAGCCAGCATACGCACATTACCTCAAACCACTGCAGAGGAAATACGCAATGAAACCTCTAGGATTCTACGACTTGCGAAACCTCCAAAGTGCAACCTGACATACGAGGAAAGGAAAGCTATTCGCAGCCTGAATACAGACGAGAACATACTAGTCCTGCCTGCGGATAAAGGAAACGCAACGGTAATCATGAACGTGACTGACTATGAATCGAAAATCTCCGAACTCCTAGACCCCTCCACCTACAGAAAGCTGAAACGTAATCCCACTGCTTCTATATTGCGAAAAACCAATCAACTCATCCGAGCACTACCGTTGGAGCCGGAAAACATAAGGAAACTCATCAAATCTGAGGCCTTACCACCTAGAATATATGGGCTTCCTAAGATTCACAAAACAGGCAACCCACTCAGGCCCATTGTAAGTGCAATAGATTCGCCCACATACAGCATAGCCAAATACCTCACCACCCTCCTTCAACCACGGATTGGCCAATCCAGCTCTTATGTCAAGGACTCAACTCATTTCATCAAAAAGATCAGTGATATCACTCTATTACCAAACGACATTCTGGTTAGTTTTGATGTCGTCTCATTGTTTACTAAGGTCCCAGTAAATCAGGCCTTAGAGTATCTGAAAGATGTTTTTCCGGAAGAAATCAACAACTTATTTCACCACTGTCTGACGACTACGTACTTTCAATGGCAAAATGAATTCTTTGAGCAGACAGATGGAGTCGCAATGGGAAGTCCACTCAGCCCGGTTATCGCCAACTTTTACATGGAACACTTCGAACAAATGGCACTACGAACGGCTACAAAGAAACCTACTTGTTGGTTTCGCTATGTAGATGACACATTTGTTGTTTGGAACCATGGAGAGGCAGAGCTCGAAAACTTCCTTAATCATCTAAACTCGATAGAACCCAGGATACAGTTTACGATGGAAGTTGAGAAGGATAACAAAATTGCATTCCTCGACGTCCTCTTAGAAAGATTACCCTCAGGAAAACTGGGGCACAGAGTGTACAGGAAGCCGACACATACGGACAGATACCTCAACAAGGAATCTAATCACCATCCTAGGCAAAAGAGAGGAGTCATTAAAACTCTATCTGACAGAGCAATCCGGATTTGTGAACCCAGATACCTTCAGGACGAGATGCAACACCTAAAATCGGCACTTGAAGAAAATGGGTACTCCAAGCAGGAGATAAATAGAGCCATAAGACCGAAGCAGCAGCGCACAACTAACAAGGAACCAGCACAGGTGGCAGGGAGAGCCTTTCTTCCCTATATCAAAAATGTCACAGATCGCATAGGACGAACGCTAGAAAGACACAACGTTAAGCCTATCTACAAGCCCACAAGAACAATTCAGCAAAGTCTAAGATCGGCCAAGGATCCTAGGGCACCTCTTGAATCGGCTGGCGTCTATAGAATTCCCTGCTCTTGTGGATCTGTCTATGTAGGAACAACCAAACGCTCTATCAACACCAGGGTCAAAGAGCACAAAAGAAACTGTCAGCAAGGACAAATAGATAGATCAGCAATCGCCGAACACGTGCTTACACAAACAAACCATGTCATTCGTTTCGAACAGACTCAAACATTGGATAGAACCAAACATTTCTACACCAGGCTCCACAGAGAAGCCATAGAGATACAGAAACACCACAACAACTTCAACAGAAAAGAAGAGGGCATGAACCTCAATAAAAGCTGGTTGCCAGTTCTCCGAAAAACAAAGACCCTTCCTTTCCGAGAACGAGACAAGGAAAATACCATAATCCAAGCCACGCCCACAACCCTGGATATAAATAACGCAGTTCCCTCAACGTCGAATTCAGTCATCGGAGAAACACGGAAGAGAACGCTTCGTCCTCTACCACACCGCCTCTGAAGATGTCTACCGCAGCAGTAGATGAAACGTTAGGTAGAAATACTAATGGACCACGGCATTATAGCCCGGAAAAAACTTTTTTGCTAGTCTATGTGTAATGTTTTCATTGTCTTCGATCTTTGTTGTGTTTCTTATCCACTCGTTGGTCTTGTGATCCCTTTACTGTAATACCTATCATTCTCCTTTCAATTACTCTCTCATGTACTTGTGTACTTGCACCTGATTTGGGAATTTCTTCGTGAAAATCCATGTTTCGCTTCCATACATAGGCAACTACTGGCAGAATACATTCGTTGTAGACTTTAGTTTTCATCTTTAAAGGTAATTTGGACCGAAATAAGTGGCGCATGGCACATGGCGCATTTTACCATACGCAGGCCATCCCAGTCGTATTCTCCTATCAAATTCAAGCTCTTAATTGGTGCCTGGCTGTGTGCTCAGGTTCACGCTCTTGATATATTGCATGTCTAGAATATATATCATGTAACATCTTAAACAATAAATCACACTTTCTATATTATCTACTTGTTTATCACTTCCACACTTTTTGGACATTCCTTTCCAAAACGAGTTGTTCAGAGCCAAGGTCAATCTTTATGCAAATCATTTCGTTAACATTTGGCTAATTTTTCAAATCTTATGGATTTCACTTTTTATGACAAACCTTGATAATACCTTTGACTTTCGTCCATCTAAATAGCTATTTATACAATAAGTTACGAAATGAGCGTCTTTTAGGCACGCGACGTGAAAATTGTCCAACGAGGCAAAGCCGAGTTGGACAACACGTCGAGTGACTAAAAGACATCGTTTCGTAACGTATTGTATACAAGATTTTTTCTACTGGCATTTTATAATAAAAAAACACAATTTTATTTCATGTGAATAAGTCGATTACACCCAAAATCTTTGTTACCTGCTTTTACTTGACACCTGACACTTTTCATGCGATTTTCTTTTCAAAATTCGACATCAATAATTAAAATCCTAGAAAGTAGGTAATAACACAAAGTTCTGTTTTGAGTAACCCAAACGTTCAATTCAGTAATTCCATTTTCAATATTCATAATAAATACAAAACAAAATTCAAATATGTGTTTAGTGTATTTTTTATTTCTGAATAATGAATGACACTTTTAGGCACTAGTGCTTAAAAATTACTTTTACGCACTCATAAGTCACTTTTACGCATTCAAAAGTCACTTTTACGCACTGAGTGCCTAAAAGTAACTTTCACGCACTCAGTGCCTAAAAGAATGTCGTTTCAAAACTGAAATGACAATCGAAAAGTTGCTATTATGAAACGTCAGTAGAAAAATACTTTTTTCTACTGACGTTTCATAATAGCAACTTTTCGATTGTCATTTTAGTTTTAAAACGATATTCTTTTAAGCACTGAGTGCGTAAAAGTTACTTTTAGGCACTCAGTGCGTAAAAGTGACATTTGAATGCGTAAAAGTGACTTTTGAGTGCGTAAAAGTAATTTTTAAGCACTAGTGCCTAAAAGTGTCATTCATTCTTCAGAAATAAAAACCACACTAAACATAGATTTGAATTTTGTTTTGTAATTATTATGAATATTAAAAATGTAATTATTGAATTGAACGTTTGGGTTAGTCAAAACAGAACTTTGTGTTGTTACCTACTTTTTAGGATTTTAATTATTAATGTCGAATCTTGAAAAAAAAATCGCATGAAAAGTGTCAGGTGTCAAGTAAAAGCAGGTAACAAAGATTTTGGGCGTAATCGACTTATTCACATGAAATAAAATTGTGTTTTTTTACTATAAAATGCCAGTAGAAAAAATCTTGTATACAATACGTTACGAAACGATGTCTTTTAGTCACTCGACGTGTTGTCCAACTCGGCTTTGCCTCGTTGGACAATTTTCACGTCGCGTGCCTAAAAGACGCTCATTTCGTAACTTATTGTATAAATAGCTATTTCCTACAGCCGTGCGGAAAAATCGATTTTCCGCACTGATATGCGTGCGGAAAATGAGTTTTCCCGCACGGTGCGGTAAAACTTTTACCGCACGCATATCAGTGCGGAAAAAGTTTTTCCGCACGGCTGTCAGTGCGGAAAAAATTTTACCGCACTGATTTTACATTTTTACGCCTGTAGGAAAAATATTGTACCTAACACTTGCGGAAAATATTTTTCCGCACTCAGCTGCTTCACCGAACTCCGCTACGCGTCGTTCGGTGAACGGCAGCCGCGTGCGGAAAAATTCATTTTCCGCACTTGTTAGGTAAATAGCTACTTCCTACAGCCATGCGGAAAAATCGATTTTCCGCACTGATATGCGTGCGGAAAATGAGTTTTCCCGCACGGTGCGGTAAAACTTTTTTTTTGACATATCAGTGCGGAAAAAGTTTTTCCGCACGGCTGTCAGTGCGGAAAAATTTTTACCGCACTGATATGTCAAAAAAAAAAAGAAAAATTTTACATTTTTCGCCTGTAGGAAAAATATTGTACCTAACACTTGCGGAAAATATTTTTCCGCACTCGGCTGCATCACCGAACTCCGCTACGCGTCTTTCGGTGAACGGCAGCCGCGTGCGGAAAAATTAATTTTCCGCACTTGTTAGGTAAATAGCTATTTTCTACAAACGCCACTAAAAGTGTCATTTTTAACGGATGCTGTCAGTGTCTAAAATGCCAGTTTATGACACTGGTGCTAAAAGTGATTACTTCCCTTTTCACAAAATAAAATGGCACTTTTAGCACTTATATCATAAATAACTATTTTTTTCTAGGAAATCCCTATTCGACTCTCATCATCTCAACTGACGTTTAACAAAGATCGAACTCCAAGCGCAATTTCTAAAAGAATTATCGGTGGTACTGAAGCAACAGCTCACGAGTACCCATTTCAAGCGGCTCTGTATGTTTACGTGGGAGGCACCATTTACTTTTGCGGCGGCAGTTTGATCAACGAAGAATGGATTTTGACTGCTGCACATTGTGTTGAAAAGTAGGTACCTCCTACATAAAATACAATAATTCTATACTAAATAAGAATTTTCCTGCATTAAAGCTATGGAAATTACATGTATATCAACTTGTCATTTTTTTTTTCTAATCTTATTCCAATTAAATTTATAATGCATGCAACTAATTTTTATTTGTTTTTTTCTAGTTCATCCCACATAATAGTATTCCTAGGCTCACATGATTTGGATCAACCAAAGGAAAACTCTAGAAAAATTTTCAATTCAACCATTTACATTATTCATGAAGGTTGGGACGAAGATTTAATACAAAACGACATTGCTCTGGTAAAATTGCCCCAAAATGTTACTTTGGACAAATACATTAATACTGTATCTATAGCAGCTGGTAATGACAATTTTAGCGGAGATACTAGCAGGTGTTTAGGCTGGGGAAGAACCATTTATGGGTCATTATCCAATGTACTTTTATATGTAGACGCACCTGTTATCACAAATGCACTATGTAGTTCATATAGAGAGTATACTGGAATTATTGCTGATCAACATATTTGTGCTTCAGGTGAATATTTGTGTACTAAAAATTTAGGAATTGCATCAAGCTTTATAAATTGAAAGGATAAATTTTGAATCGGTTGAATTATTGAATATCCTGTATATTCACAGGCTTAAATTATTTCCAGCTCAATTCGAAATATCTGGAACATATTGGGAAAGTTGTCTCAATAGCTACGGTCCGTCGATTTTAATCTGATAATCCAAAGGAATGAGAGCTAAGTTAGAACGCCAATGGTCAGCTGACGTCACACCTGTTATTGTCATATGCTTCGCCCCCTCGCTCCTCATATGGAAAGTGTCAGATTAAAAACGACGGACTTTACATCTGCTAGGGGATTCCATTTGCTAACAAGATCAGGAAATCGAATCGCTTTCCCATACATACTAAATACGAAATCAAGACCGAAAGCGCCTAATCCAATATCGTATTGTCAATTGGAATCCAAGCCCTGATACAATGATTAATTAATTTATCTTATTTTTAGGTGTTGGTACTGTAGGTTCCTGTAACGGAGACTCTGGTGGACCTTTACTAATTAACGGAACTCAAGTAGGAATAGTTTCTTTCGGCTACACAGATTGTGCAGCAGGTTATCCATCGGTTTATACCAGATTAACAGAATTTTCAGATTGGTTAACCGATAAAGTTGAAAATTTTGATATCACTCTTTATAATAATAGTTTTCAAATACAATCTAGTTTGAAGATTTTCATAGGTATTATTTCTAATGTGTTATTAGTTAATTATTTATTATGAAAGGCAAAACGAGATTATAATATTAAGGTAAAACCAGTTTTTATTAACAAGCAATAAATAAAATTTGTTTAAAACCTAATTCACTATCCCTAAATACAATAGCAGCATTAAAAGAATGATCTTGATATTAGCCAAAGTCCCAATACTAGACCGAAACCTTGCAAAAGGTTTGAATTTTCTTTAAAAAAGCTTTGATTAGGAATTTCCTCAGTATTAGCCCCAGTATAAACAGTACCCTTGCCATTATAACTAACATGACTTGAAATATTATTCTTTTGGATATTATGTTCTAAGGCAGTAAATTTATCCATAATAACTTTACTAAAATGCCCAATTTCTTTTTTATTATTTGAAATTTCTTCCATTAGTTTTTTATTTGAATCAATTATTTGTGCAACAAATATCATATCATTTGGCTTACTAATGTTTTGCAATCTATCATCAATTATTTGTTTCAATTGCTCCTTCCTAAGTGTAGAATAAACGAATGCCAATAATGAACCTGCTATACTTAAAACAATACCAAAATACTTTGTGTACTCCATTTGGGCTCTTTGTTTTTCATGTGAGTCCCTTATTGAATCAGTGAAGGCGGTAAAGAGTTCCCTTTCAGTTTGATCATAGTCTTGGAATGTATTAGAAATGGATTTTTCCAATCTCATCACTTCTGTTTCTTCTTTCATCAAATCTAAAAATTTTCCCAAATCCTCTTGCCTTTTAACTTTGTGAATTTCATCTTGTAGTTCCATTGATTTTTGTCTAACGTTTGATAATTGTCTGCCAACTTCTCGTCGTTTTTCTTGTATATTTAGCAATTGATCCTGGAGTGCAGATTAAGGGTTTTTTTTTTGTTCATTTGATGGTGAAGTTCTTACCTGTAATGCATTGACTTTTTCCCTAGCCAAAGTAACCTTATCCAGGCCTGTGATTTTCATGTACCAGTCATTGAATTCCGTGAATTTTTGGCTTAAAATTCTCACTTGGTTTTCTTTGGCTGCCTGAATGTGGGGGGCTGCTTCGGCTATGGTTTTCGATATTGATCTTTTGAGGGCTTCCAACGTGTGATTGCTGACAATTTGTCTAAGGGGTAATGTTAAATGCATGGTTTTTATGGTCCTTATAGCTCAGCTTATAGCATTTTGGTTCAATTATTAGAAAATGAGAAATTTTTCATTTTTGATAAACTTTGGCATACGCCATACAAAATAAAAAGTAAGGTTAGTGTTAGTAAATGACGCTCTTCTTTTTTTTGGGAAAGAGGTAAATAAAAAAAGCCTTTAGACCTTTTCACGTGGCTCCGGTTTAACAAACCGCAACGCGGGAAAATTGTGAGGTGACTGGTGCAAACTTAAATAAAAAGTTGTTTGCAAAGAACTATAGGCAATTCAAACCACGTGACATTCAAGATGGCTTGGCGGCCACACATGGGTCAAAAAACACAAACAAATATCTAATTTCTGCCCGAATTAATAGTTTAGGTACCTAATCAACAAATATTTTATTAAATAATGAAAATCAAGGTTGTAAGCAAAACTGTATGCAAAATAATTTAAAATACGCATAAAATCATATTCAAAACAAACTTGCTTGGCCGCCACGCCACATTGAATTTTCCTTTTTGACAGATGGATTGAATTGCCATAGCCAAAAACTAGAATGCGCACACATGTTGTATTCCTTTCACACCTAGGAGGAGCTCCGGAACAGCTCCGGGGCTTCACGCGCTTATTCCTTTCGAAAAGTGTTTGCTGCACCACGCATCTGTTCCCTGCAAATTGGGGGCGACTAAACACCGGAGCGAGTAGCTCGAGTGCTTCAAACTCTTGAAAGGAATACAGCTATTGCCATATCTGCCAAAGAAATGTAGCCATGAAAGATAGATGCCACTACAGTGACTCTATTACCCACAGTGGCGACAATTGCTGTCTTATTTTTGATTGGTTCTAAAATCCCATATATTTATATTGAAAACGCGGCCATCTTGTTCCCACCTATGGCTTATTTCAAATATGAATATATGGGATTTGGGTGAACATCCATCACAAAAAATGGAAAACAACGTATTTGATGGGCCTAATAAGAGTCATCAAATACGTCGATTTCAATTTTTTATGATAGATGTCCATTTAAATCCTATATATCAATATTTAAAGGTAAGAAGAGCTTGGGAACAAAATGGCGCCGGGACCTCTATTGTCGCCACTGTGTGTAAAAGTTTATTTAGCCACTGTAGATGCCACAAAGGGGAATCTTCACAGAATACATATCCTCACGGATAGAAGGCAAACTGCCTAATAAAATTTTGGGGAACAATGCGCCGTCACGGCGCTGTGGATGCGATCCGAACTATTTATATTATAGGTTTCTGTAATCAAATAAACTGTCAAAATAGTTCACCCAATGTCAATTTTTTCAATAATAATTTTTCCCAATGATTTTTCCTCATTATAGCCGAATTCGATTCGACGGCTTTTACTTCCGAGTAGAGCAAAAACGGCCAAAACTTCTTGTGTTTGCGTCGCTAAATTCACCAAACTGTGGCACCGCCACGGATGCGGTGATTACGATTCACTAATGCCAATGCCCTGTGGTTTGGCAAATCCTGTTCAACTTAACACTGCTTTTTCTACCATTCCATTCCACCACGGTGCCTACACCAGGTGAATTTAGTCACTCGCGGGTTTTGTGTAAGATCTGATTTTTCTTTGAATTCAATAAACATTTTTCTGGATTTAAAATGCACACCAACACTAAGGGTCTGTTCCCACAGCAGTCTCTGACAGTTTGCAAACTGTCAGTAAGCATCGCCCATACATGTTTTCAATGCTGTCGTTCCAAGATTAATCTGTAACTCAGCTGAGCGATTGTTTCTGACAGGTTGCAAACTGTCAGAGACTCCTGTGGGAACAGACCTTAAGACGAATTATTTTGACATATTTTTTTGACACATAGGTAACAGGTAAACGAGAAACGAGGTAAATTAAATCTCATTGGGTAAACTGCAAAAGTAAACAGTGTATATTTTCTGATGGCCTTCAATCCGCACCTGTAATTGTGTTTCACTCCAGCGTCCCCAAGCGGATGCGATCCGAAGCTTTTTATTTAGGCCCCGCCCTCCATTATAGCTATTTATGTACCAAGGGGATTATGTTCAGGCGAAATATATCCCTCGGGTCATAGGCCCTCGGGCTAGTTTCGCCTTCGGGCATTATAATCTTGAAATCCCCGTGGTGCATACAATGCTTTATTTTCTACTCGACTGTTTTTTCATCAATTTGTTATTAACAAAATCAGTTAAACTTGTGTGACAGAATATTGTTTTGTATTTTGACATGTACCTGTACCTGTGACCTGTACCTGTACCTGCGACCTGTACATAGAAACGAAATACATTAATATATCTATAAACATCTCATAAGGCAAGGCAACGGTGGTGGTCCTGTGGGTTAACGCGCTGGACTACATGGGAAACGTTGATGGTAGACCGGGTTCGAATCCTGGCTAGACCGAAAATTATTTTCGGTCAGACATTTAGTGGCTGCCTAGGGTAAAGTGCAAATTAATAGAACAACAACAACAAAAACACCTTAAGGTATTATAAGCGGGCGTTATAGATCATAACGCCCGCAAAAGCGGGCGTTATGGATCAGGTTGTTATAGGTGTGTTAACGTATTTCGTTTCCTAGGTATTATGGATCTATAATAGTAAAGTAGAAAATAAAGCTTTTTTTTCTATCCGTGAGGATATGTGTTCTGTGGGGATGTTGTTTTTTTCTGTTGCTCGCTGACATACCTATTATGACGTTTTGGAAAGTTTTGTCATATTTACCTTCACAGGTTTCATCAATTGGAATACGTGTTGGAAGCAATTTCCGCCATTTAACATAATGAGTGCGACAAAAACAGCACTGGAACCACAAACAATCGCTATCGATAAGTTCTCGACAATTTCCCCTCATTTCTCACCTCGTCCACCCATCGCTCAACGTTAGGGTCCAAAATTCCCACCACAAACGATTATTTGTGGTACAAACGAACGTTTGCGGTGGCAATTTTGGCGACTAACGTTGAGCGATGGACAAGGTGAGAACTTGTCGAGAACTTATCGATAGCGATTGTTCGTGGTTCCGCCTCAGGTATCCCAAATGGTCAAAACATAAACAACGAAAATTGATTTTTACCAGTTACTGGCTCTTCTTACTTGTAAAATTGACAGCTAAACTGTAAACTAAGGCGGCGTTCCGTATCTTAACCAGAGTTACCGATTGGTATGGAGCGGTTCGTTTATGGTGACAGTCTGGTTCCTGAATATGCGGTTTATGTGTGAAACCGCGTTTCATAACCTAACCAGATTTCAGGAGTGGTTAGGTTACGGAACGTTAACCGAAAAAACCAAGAATCTTGGTTAACTTACTTACGGAACGTCCCCTTAATTTATGTCCGATTGACCAATAAAGTGCTATTTATAGATCAGTTTTGCGTCAATAAAGTAGCACTTTATTGTACTAGTAAAATAAAGTGCTACTTTATTTTACTAGTAAAATAAAGTGCTACTTTATTGCCTACCTGGACAACCTAACAAGGTGAAACAGGTCCTGACAACTTGCCAAGGTGAAACAGGTCCTGACAACCTGCAAGGTGAACCAGATATACCTTCGCGAATTTTACTTTTTTCATTAAATTTTTTTAATTTTTAACAAAAATCAGTCGCAATCGTACATAATAGTTATTTATGATATAAGTGTTAAAAGTACATTTTTAAGGCACGCATGTGAAAGTTTGCAGAATGAGCGAAGCGAATTCTGCAATTCACATAAGTGCCTTAAAAATACTTTTAACACAAATATCATACAATATTTTTTCTACAAACGGCAATAACAAGCAATAACCAGTGACAAATTGAATTTTTAAATGAATAATAAATTGGAAGCATCTTTCCTACGTAAAATTATTGAATTTGATATTTGTCAAAAAATTCAAACAACCAGCACCTTGTTTTACAGGTAATGAAATGTCTCGTCAGTTTCTTGAAAGTCTGTCGTATGGTCTATCGTGGTCAGTAAGCTTTTTGCTAAAAATGCAACAAAATACACAAGAAAAAGAGGGTTGCATCAATCCCTTGAAAAATATAGTGGAGGCGGCCGATGGAGCTTCCTCAGTTGTTCAAATTTTACCATTAATATTAATGTAAATAATTAAAAATACAAACTTTTTTTGACGTTTGCTTTCAAATTTTGATGTTTCATTTTTAACACTAGTGCCTTAAAGACTTTTAACACTAGTGCAATAAAGTAACATTTTTAATGCTTCGAGGGGGTGTTAAAAATTGCATTTTTAACACGTTTGTAGAAAAAATCATGTATATAACGCTTACTAAACAGGCTTTATTGACTCATTATTTAATAGCCTCGCTCGCAAGCTCGCTCGGCCATAAAATTATTCGTACAATAAAGCCTTACTTTATGTACCATCGTCACCAAAAGTAACTGGGACAGCGTCACATTAGCTCTTGTCCTATTATATGAATTTTATTGTCAAATATTTGTCAAACTTGAATTAAATGCATTGAAATGAATGACAGTAGAACTAGTCCAGGAGATTATTATGTATTATTTGTGTCCCAGATACTTTTGGTGACGATGGTACTTGTTATATAAATAGCTATTACGTGATTACAATTGTTTTTTGGCTCTACTGAAAAATTATAATAATGACTTAATACACTTTACCAGGTACAGATGTATAGTGTGGGTGAGTCGAGGTTAGGGTTGCCAGATTTTCAAAATTGAAAAGCGGGAGGTAGTGAATGCGGAAGGGAAAAATAATGTTTAGAAATTTTTTTGAGGTGTTACGCCCTAATTTTGTCACTTATCATATATAAAAGTAACGGGACGGTCAATTGTCTCTGTAACCAGTGGTGCAATTTAAACAAATTCTTTTATTCAAGACGAATTCAAAAATTGTATAGACGTTGTTGCCAGATTTACCAATAATAGTTATTACAAGAGGAAAAGTTTTGTCGGCACTGGACTACACAACTTATACTTGGACCAAGTAAGTTGGCAGCCTGGGCCGGAACTCTGTAACGGATAGATATCGTTATTTCTATCGCTACGGCACTTGCTATCTTCTCCCTTTTCGAAATCAATAGAGAAGGGACGCCAGTAGACTGTAGAGATAGAGAAAATATCTCCAATCAT